TGTGTTTGTATGTGTGTGTGTGTGTGTGTGTGTGTGTGTGTGTGTGTGTGTGTGTGTGTGCACGTACGTTCGTGCTTGCGTTTGTGTGGATCAGGGTCGGCGAACATAACCCTCTCATTGTGTGCCATGTCCAAATAGACCAGTTTTATATCAGGCACATGTGAGCGTTAGAGTGTGTGTGTGTTTTGAATATACAGTATGAGTGCAAATTATTTAGTGTGGATGTGTAGAAAGTGCTGAGCCGAAGGGGTTTACTGCCAGTCCTTCCTAATGGAGCCTTTCACTCTCCCTCCATTCATGTGATGGTATGGTGACGGAGAAGGGGGAGCTGGGGATTAAGAGGGTAGAGGCAGTGCCTTGTTAAAGAAAAAGAAAGGGTTTGAGTGTGTCGATTGGATTAACTTGTTTGGGCTTATTAAGAGGGGAGACACAGCAGCTTGTTAAAAGCACTGCATGGGGCGTCCCACAGTGAGACGGCAGGGTCACCATTCAATTAGGCTGAAGCTCCACCCCTGCTCATTGTGGAGGCTGTCTGCCAGGCTCTCGGACCACGGCTGGTCCTGCACTATGAGGGGGAGTTTCACTGGAGACACTTTAACTAAGACAGTTTAACCTCTAGAAGCTTGATGGTTGGTTTTCTATAAAATCTACTGAGAGAAAACATTAGCCAGGGCTGGGATTTGTTTGAGATGTTCTGCTGTACTAATGCTGATGCAATATGTTTCAAAATTGATACCAAAATGATCTATTTTTGATACGTGACTCTGAGAAATATTAGCATGTTTGTAACATCCCTGTCGCTTGACAAGAACATTGACATCAGACAATTCTGGCCAACCACACATTACATGATTTTTTTTTTTTTTTCGTCTAATGCTATAACATTTTAAAATTCATGCAACTGTGCATGACAACTGAAGTATGGTTAGGGTTATATAAAGCTCATTGTCATGACAAATTACAGTATGGTTATCGTTAGGCAACTAAAGCACTTGGTTTAAGAGGAAAAGATCATGATTACAGTTAATAAACATCAATTTCAGGTTGTAACGGGGGATTAATTCTGGTTTCTTGTATTTAAGTCAGATATGCTACATGATCATTTAGTGCTTTAATATAGATGTAATGCTTATGGGCTAAGAAATAGTAGAAAATTTGAAAATTTTGTTTGAAATCAGGAACCATCTGATCAAAGAATAAACAAACAAGACTATGAATCTGAATACCAAAAAGCACTGAGGTTCAGTACCGAGGCTCAGTGTCATGTTCCTCACTCTTTCTTTCACCTGAAACACGTATAGCTCAAAAAACACACATACACTCCGTTTATTCACCCATGACCACCCTGTTACACAGGATGCTTATCTGGGCAGACAGCTTTGGGAGCAGGGAGCCATCTCCTCTGATCTCCTCTGGAGTTTAAGAACCTTTTAACTAAGAAATAGCCCTCTGCCAAGCCCACCGCCTCTTGATTCCGGCTTATTCCCTCATCTCATGGGACTGATCTTCCGCCCCCATTGCAAACCCTGCAGCAGCGTTAGCAGAACGGGAAAGAGCCGATAGACATCCTGGCTTTTGAGATATCCCCGCACTGGTGTAATAGGAGACCTGTGAGTGGATTTGATGAGGGAGTGAAGTGCAGGTGGTTTTTCAAGCAGCGTGTAAGGCAGTGAGTGCGCGTGCGTGTGTGTGTGCTTGCGCACATTCTGCAGCACCTTCACGGGGATTGACCTGGGCATGGCAGGCTGTTTTAGGGCAGCTGGATGATGGGTCACAGGGTTTTGGTTTGGAGATAATTTCCTGCCATTGATAGACATCTGCTAAGTAGTACAATAACCTAATAGGAGGAGATGAGGGGAAAGGGGGACATGACAAACAAGCCAAAGACTTGCTCCTTCTGCCTCGCTCTTAAAGGCAATAATAGGAGAAAATTGGTTCTTGAAATTGAATTGAAAAAAAGCAGGTCTCTCTCTGCGAAGTATAATGCCTCAGAATACATTTGGCGAGCAGCAAATGGAGAAAAATGGAGGGTAGTTACACGATTGTCTTTCATTTCAGAGAGGGGAAAACTGCAGAGGTATCCCCCGTTAAGACTAGCTTTTAGTCTCAATCTACAACATCTGTCCCTTTCCTCTCTCTCAACCACTATCTTTTAACAAATGGGCTGTGAGGATGGACTCGTTGTGAAATTAGTATCCTCACAGAGAGGACACAGAGAAAGGATTATGTGAATAGCCAGTAATGAGCTCAAAGTGCCAGTGTGTTTGGGCCAGGCCTGCCTGTGTGTGAGAGGAAATGGCACTGCAAGCGACCTTTTTTGCTCAAGCACCTGGCGAGAAATAGAGTGGCCCCTCTCTTCCATCTGCAACATGTGCATTTGTGTGTAAGCGTGTGTGTGTGTGTGTGTGTGTGTGTGTGTGTGTGTGCCAAGGGAGAGAGAGTGAACTGTGGAATTAACAAGAAATTCTGAGTCTGAAAATTAAATTTACTAACATTTATTAAGGAGGAACATTCTCTATGAACATTTTTTACGCTGTCGGGTTTGTGCTAAAAGTGTCTCTTTGTGCTGCTTCTGACAGGGTTTAAAAATACACTTTTGACTTTGAGTGTTAAGTGTTTTATACAAGCCTGGGGGTCTGAGGTCACATTTAATGTCTTGTGAAAAATGTTCTATTAAAATGTTTTCTTATGGGTGAAAGACTGAATTCTTTGCAGGGATGATGCATTTTTCTGTAACACCTGCTTCTGATCTTTAACTATTCACACCAGGAAAACCATTCAACCTTAATTATAGGCAACAAGATGTTTGTCTATCATGCTTCCTTCCCCCATTTCTTTTTTTAACAGGTTTTTCTTCAGTTTTTCTGCTGCTCTGAGCTCTGTTTTCAAAAGTTGGGCTCTGTGAAATCTGTCACTGTTAAAGTGTAGACACATGTAGCTATTAATGAAAACTGATTTAAATTATATTTTAAATGGTACTATGAGTGAACATATTTAATCAACGCAGGATTTGATTTCATGGGAAGAAATTTGACAACAATCTAATTGTTCCTCTCAAACCAAAAACTGTATTGTTTTCAATTTTCATAAGATTCATTGTTCAAGGTCAGATGATTTAACATGGTCTTAAAAGAAGGCAGTAAATTAAATGTATGACATTAAAATAACTATCAACTTGGTTCTTTGATACACTCCAATTCATTTTCAGCAATGAAACTGCACATAAATATAATTTAAATTGTAACTTTTAACTAATCGTACTTTTAAATCATGGTTTTCCACCTTGGTCAATATTGCAGGAACATTTTGTCATTTGCAAAGGTTGTTGTGATTGAATGCTTATATTAGTGGTTTAATATTTGGATGTTTTTCAAAGGTGATCTATATTTTTCTTTATTCCTTAAATGAGCAACAACAGGAGCTGGCACTTTATGAACTGCCATTAATTCATCTCGTAATCATTGTAATTGCTTTCTTTCATATTAAAATGATAATCTATAAAACTAAGTAATGGACTGATGGCAGGTGGCTAAATGTTCATTTAGTGATTCACTGAGAAAATAAATAACAGGGGACAAGCCTGTGACAGGCGCATGAGAAATCATTTTTCAATAATCTGCCACGCATGATGGCAGGAGACGCTGGCGTTGACAGCATAGATGAAATATTTGCCTCTGTTCTTTGTTTTAATATGGGAGGAGGCCCAGATGGAAACGATAGTGTTTCATATCGATGCATTTTGGATGAGAGACTCAAAAACAATGCTTTATACAGAGACAGCCATGCATTTGAGGTGAGAGTGGGCTCCTGCAGTGTTATACATAGTACAGTAACAGCACACGTTTCCTGGAAACCAAACAATATCCGCTAAGTGAACTACAGTGGAGTGAATCTCGATCCTTATCATATAAAAACACTTTCTGGACCTAAATGGTTTGCTTTAGCTGTTCTCATCTGGCACATAATCCAAGTAGAAGACTTTGTAATCAGTCATCATTGTGCTATGTGACATTGGTATGTTGCTGACGAATGATACCCTCCATGCTACTCGATTGTTGAGGGTTCTTAGTGTGGGAGCTGTGGGTTTTGTTATATATACTGTGTATATATATATATATATATATATATATATATATTTTTTTTTTATATCTGTGTCTTGTGTTTCCAACTGGGGCTGTGATGGGCTTTTTGAGAGGAAACTGGCAGCAACTGCCTCCCTGTTCCTGAGTGAAGGTGGCTGTGGGGAAAAGGGGGAGTGTAGAGTTGGAGATTTATGGCCTAGAGGGAGATTGATTAGTGCCGTCACTAGCCCTGATGTACGGTTGGCAGTCTCCCCCTCCCAATCCATCGCATTTGCTCCCACACACACACACACACACACACACACACACACACACACACACACATGCAGCCATACAGTTGAACACACAGCTACACATACATGCAGACACCGCTCCATCCCCCAGGCCTTTCCTGACAGTCCCCCAGAGCTGTTGCATGTTAAGTTGTAGCAGACAGACTGCTGTTTTCTCAGCATTACCATTTTTTTTTTGCTGTCCATAGATAATGCCATCAATCACCACATACACACTGCCCTGGAAGGAATGTGTCTGAATGTGCCTGAGTGTTGCTACTTTCTGTGTGTGCCTGTGTGTTTGTTTTGAGGACGGTTTCATAGACAGGAGATGTGGTTGAATGGCTGTGTGGATGTGCTGTTTGAAGCTGCAGAGTGACTGGCCTGGGCTGTGCTCTGAACCCGTGTCAACCGTGCTGCCCCAGTGCAGGTGTGTGTTTATCATTCAGCACACAGAGCTGAGAGGCAGGCAGCTGTAGGCATGCTTTCCCAATTAAATCCTGGGTGAGAAACCTAGCCCATCTAGCCCAGAGCCAGCTCCTGCCGGCTTACCGGACACGGCCATGGATCTTTGACCTCGAATCATCCCGCTTAGCTCACTCAACGTCCCTCTCTTTCTCTGTTTCTTGCTCTTTTTCTGCTGCAGGTTGGCCGCAGAACTCCCCCGGCTGTAGTACTGTGCCCACCTCGCCATGCTGGCCTGTCTGCAGAGGAGGCAAAACCCTCCACCCCAGCACCCGGTGTGTGCCAGCAAGACCCTGGAGCCACCGCAAGCCCTTGGACGGAAATGTAAGTGAACAAAGTGACGGGGAGCAATGGAGGTCAGGAGTTCAGCTCGCTTAAAGCTAAGGAACGAGAGAAGCTTGTGTTTGTCATTTGTATTTAATCTGTTGGTTGTGGTGAATGATGGAAATGGGTAGTTAACCCTGACTGTGAATAACTGAAGGAGAATAGACTTTCCGGTTTGTGTTTGTCACTGTTCCCCTGCTACTCTGAGGAATTCTAAACAGTTTTATTCGCTCTGCACTTAGACCTTGGATAGCCATGTTGTTTGGCTACTCATTGAGAGGGGGGCTGTTTAGCTGTGCTGATTGTGCAGTCGTGGCAACAGGGCTGAGCAGACAGTGTTTAACGTGCCTCGCTGGCCCCGGGTGACCCTGAGGGTCTGTAAACATTTACAGTGTCTGGCCCAGGCTGTGCCGGCCGCCTGTAAAGCATGACAGCTGCTCTGTTTGCTCCCCGAGCACCACCCTCTGTCCACTCACAAAATGGTGTAAAGGGACAGAGATGGGCCAGGGTTGAAAACTGTTACAGAGCTGGCAAAACTAGTTCAAACCAGTTTGGGATTAGAGTGCCGCAGCACTCAGGAGTCTGGAAGGTGAATTTCTCTTTAATTTTGCTGAAGCTTTTGGATAAGCCTTTTACAGTGAGAGTCTGTTTTCTGACGAGAGGAAGAAAGGTCTTTCCTCCTTATTGAATGCTCCTCAAGTCTTTAGTGGCCTTTGTTTACATGGCAGGCCTAGGAGCTACCTCAAGCCGATTAAAAGGACTGGCGGATGGAGAGCAGGGGAGCACTAACCTAGCAATTTTTACCTCAGCTTAGAGAGGCTTACTGGGAATAGCACTGTGCTTCTTCATCAGTGGGACATTGTATCAGACCTGTAACCAGCCCAGTGAAAGGCTTTAAAGAGACTTTGATTGGCTCTGGGTGAAGAAATGAAACAGTGCCTGCGTTTTTTCTGAGCTTCTCACCGGCCAATTAGCTACTTCTCAGCTCAACATCACACTCCAATCGCCTCCTACAGAGGAGAGGAGAGTCAGAAACAGCAAGGTGACTGGGTGCTACCCCCGTCCTCAGATCTGCAGTTGTTTTGCAGGTCTGTTTCGATGTTCCTTATGGAGCTGTAAAGGTGTGTGTGAAGCAGAGAGGGAACTACAGGGATAAACAGACCCATGGGGGCATCTGGAAAGGGGCAGCTCTTCAGCTGAGTGGGTTTCAGCTGGGCTCACTAATGGGGATTCAGAGAGAGGTGAGGTGAATGGGAAGACAAAGAGAAACTGTGCAAAACAGAATTAGAGAAGGTAAAGATGGAGAGGAAGGCAGAGAAACGGAGGGAGTCCTCAACAGTTGTCTTAATCGATTCTCTCCTTCCAATTTCGCAGGATTAGCCCACTTCCTCTCAGGGTCCTTTATTGAGGAGCAGCCGGTGGGAGTCAGGACTCAAATCAATAGATAAAAAGAACAGTCTCCAGTCTTCCCTTTGCCCTCCCTCTTACTGACCCTCTCTGTCTGACTCTCCCTCTCTCTCCCTCTCCCTCTCCACCTGTTAAACCCTTTGATTGAAAGACTACCACAGCGACTGACTTAAGGTTCATAATGAGGATGTTTGAACATAATAGCCTCCTTTCTGTCCTTGGAGGGGGAGGGGGGGAGCAAGTGTTGGATTTCCACCAGTGTGCAGCTCTTGGCCTCAATAAGGCAATTGTTCGTCAAGGCCCAGAAGGGGTGCAGAAAGGCAGACAGTGGGTCTGGCTGCAGAAGTGGGCACACTCAGGTCACCATGCTGAGCAGGTCCCCATGATTGATTGTTCATGGCCCAGTTTGTGCCAACATGGAAGGGGGTTGTGGGTAAGGTGACCTGGGTTCTCAACAGGAGGATGAATACCAGAATTCACCCCTCAAAGAGACAGAGTGAGTGAGAGCACAGGAGGGGGATTACCTGTGAGTGAGTTAGAGGTGAGCTGTATAATTTGCATGTGCTGTCCTTTACACAAAAGTTGTGTGTGTGTGTGTGTGTGTGTGTGTGTGTGGGTGTGTGTGTGTGTGTGGGTGTGTGTGTGTGTGTGGGTGTGTGTGTGTGTGTGGGTGTGTGTGTGTGTGTGTGTGTTTGTGTGAGTATGAGGACTGGGGTGGCAGAGCAGTTGGGATGAGAGGGTGAGGAGGGTTTTAGAAAAAGCCCCTGCATGCAGATTCCGAGTGGCTGCACAGTTCATTGATGCGACTCCCATTAAAAATCCCTCATACCCTCAATAAAAAAGGACTTAACTGGCTCTACCATCAGCTGGAAGCGTTCAGATCGGCTCGCCAGACAATCAATTTCCCCCAAGCGCACAGAGCTTAGCGGGAGAAACGGGAGGCGGAGAGCGGGATGTTTCCATTATCACAGCCCACTCTGTGTCTGGGCTCTGGGGGGGGTGGGGTGGGGTGAGGTACTGTAGAGCGGGGAGGGAAAGGAGGGAGCGGCAGAGGGAGATGGGGAAAGACAGACAAGTGGAAAGGAGAGAGAGAAGCAGAAAGGGAGACAGAGAAGCTGGCTTTTCAAAAAGCCATTGACCGCCTGCCCTTAAAAATATCATATTGGATTAGCCTCACAGGGGCGGCCTTTTGATATTTTTTTCTTTGGCCGTAGAATTAAAAGGAGTGCAGAGCATTACTTGAATTATAAATCATAGGCACTTGCTTTCAGTGCGCCCAAATTCCGCGCATATGTGGCTGCACTCTCCAGCGCCAGCCCCTGTCATTTTTAATTAAATCCCCCCTTATGGGTGACATTTGTAGCTTGCCCCCTCCTTCGTCCTCCCCTCCACGTCTCTCTACCACTGCCCTAGATGGAGACATGAAAGGCAGAAACGGCAGCGGAGCCAGGGCCTCTCATCGTGTCGTGCCCCAGAGAGAGGGCACCCATCCAGACAGATGAGAGGGAAAGGCCCTGCAGGGGGATAGGGGTGAATGGATGCCACTGACCCTGGCCACCCTCGGCCAGCGGCGACCTCCCTCGCTACCCATCTCTTTCCTTGGTCGCCGTTCTCGGCTGTGTGTCTGGAGGTCCGGGGAGCAGGGGTGAGCGTAACAGCCCTGCCCCTTGAGGGGAGAGGGAGGTGCACCAGTCCAGTGATGAGTAACACTGAGATGGCTGGACAGGAGGCCCAGCAGCCCCCACCACTACCCTCCCTCCTCCCTGGCCCAGACAGCAATTACTTTGCCACATGTCAGCTAAAGAATAACTGGTCCAGAATCCCTCAGTTGACTGGTTGATGATATTTCTACCTGGCTATTTTCCAAAATAATATAAGATTTCAGGTTTCAGCAGGTTTTCATTTGTTTATTCATTACTTAGCAGTTACATTTGTGCCAGCGTGACATTTTCCAAGATTGCCATTGTCACACTGGGTGTTCTTTATCCAGACCCACTGCAGGTTCTGCCTTAGTAAACCACACAGCTCACTGCCACTCCCATATTTGTCCTGTGATTGGATCAGACTTTGGGCTAAACCTGGGCGTTCCCTTATGTCTGTAACCCCAGCAGTGCCTGACTGTAACTCTTACACACACGCACCCACAGTGATTTCACATACTTTTGGTGGCCTCTCGGTGACCCTAATTAAGACAGAAACTATTTCACATCATGATTAATGCAATTGCAGTGAAATCAAACTTGGGAAATCTTTTTTGTTCCCACTTAAATGTCCCCAGTCAACTGGTGTGTAGTTGAGAATTTGTCCCCAAATCTGCCTTGTAGCAGAGACATGCACGCATGCACACACACATACATGAGAACACCTGCAGCCTTAACCCTCTGTGACACCACCCAGGAGGCCCGAGGTGCCAATCAGCCAGGTGTAGATGAGAAGTTCCCAGAAGGCCTGATATCCCAGGTTCATGCTATGTCAGGCCTGGTTCAGCCCTCTTAGAGCTTGATCGACAGAGACAACCTGGCCTTGTCACACACAGCCTCAGGACATGACATGGAGGTTCACCTGGGGATTGTAGTTTTCCTAATAGCCCCGTGCCTCTGCAGGCGGAGCTGCCAGAGCCATTAGTTTGCTTTGCTTTTAGCAGCCTCTCTTCCTAAGCTCCACCACCAGCGAGAGGGAATATGCTCAGGTAATGACCTCCAACCACCTCTCTGCCACTGTTGTCTGAGGCGGTGAGAGACATTACAGCTGAATTAGCTGGCCATATCAAATTGCAGCACGAAACTCCAATGGTTGTTATTTAGGGGGGGACAGGGGGAGTGTTTTCAGTTGAATATTTAAAAGTGGTTGCGAGCAGCAGCAGAAATAACAACCTTTACCCTGATTGCCTCAGTACCCTGGAGGTGGGGGGCATAAAGTGGAACTGGGGGAAAAGGAATGGAGAAGGAGCGAGGGAGAGAGAATCTGCATGCACTTGACCTTTTCCCACTGATTGAACTACCTCGTTTCTAACTCCCATTTGGAATTCCACAGAGTGCCCACAGAGATTGTCATTATTCCACAGTCTGCAGCAGGGAAGCAGAGGTCATGAGGTATTTTTCATGGTGAAAGGTGATTGACAGCTATCTATGGCCCCCATACCTCCTCGCGGATGTCTACTTATGCAATCTCATTTTGGAGCTTGCTGGGTTTGCATAGCCACATGAAATATATCATTCACACTTTCATCACATTGCTATATTGCAAAATCCAGAGTAGTAAAAGAGTTGCAGTGTATTTCAGAGAGACGGCCGTGTGATATTGGTTGTACTAGTCTTACCTCATGCATACTACAGCCTCTTCTGTCATGTTGGCGTCTCAGCGCTGGCACACAGAGGATCATTTCCGGCTGGTGGCATCCCACAGTGCCATGCCTTCCCTCTGCCCTCTGCCTTCTGCTGTGAGCACGGGGGGTGAAACAATCTTATTGCCTTGGGAGGTGAGCTTGAGGAAGAGGGGCTCTGCTTTAGTTTTGGTCACAGCAGGATTTGGGTTGAAAAACAGGTTCCTGGTTCCAAAGCCTCTGAGCTGGCATTTGGGCGTCCCAGGTGCAA